ATATATGTGCTTTTATATGTTGGATAAAATAATCGAAATCTCTGGCCTGTGTGTGTACAACAAAGGCTGAAAGACAGTTTTAATGGTTAATCTTGTTGGCATGTTTCCTATGGGGACTTCTGCATCCTAAATTATAAACACATTATCAAGGGGTAAAAATGTTTCCCATTTAGACCTGGACATCTGTAGCAGCACTAGAGCAAACATATACAAGCAGCACAACAGTCAGTTCAGCTCTGCGCTCTGTCCTCCGTCTGAAGTGCCTATGGGAAAGCTGGACTACTCCAAAGGGACTAGCAAATAAAGAAATCAGTCTTTCCTATTATTGCTGCTGTCGAGCTTGGAGGTGGCTTTTGTAGCTTATGCCAAACTAATACGAGTGGAATAATAAATAAATAAACAAAGAAAGGGAAATTATTCCCTTCTGAAATTACACATTAGCCCTTCTCTTTATAGATGTAAAAAAAAAAAAAAACAATTTCAGGGCACTAACAAACTAGCAATGTTGCTGTTTGTGATTCCAAACATTTCTTAACTTGACTTTTACATTGGAAAATATATTGTTAATGGTTGAATTCCTTCGCAGGAAAGACACCAAATCGTGTCACTCTACTCTACTTTATTTTCTTCACTTTGCCATATGGGTAAATGAATAAAATAATTCTTTTTCCAAATAAAAGCTGCTTTTGTCCCCCAAGTTGAAGTAAACCACGCTAAGTCCCACAGTTTTGTGATGTAAAAATATGAAAATGTGAAATTTGTGCAAAAAAAGAGACCAGGTTGGCTTATCCTTTCGGGTATGGGAGAGTGTTTGTTTCCTCTGAGAAGCTTTTCCAACTGCAGACCTCATGGTGGAGCCTCCAGAGGCCCTATTTGAATCACAAATGTCTTTCGTTTCTCAATCGTTCACAGGTTTTGGTCAGTTGAAGAATTTTGGGACCCATTAAAGCCTGGTGACAATGACTTTCACCCCCGGGGCCACCACAGGGGTCCGCCCCCCAACTGACCTCTCCATTGCTGCCCAGTCATAGCTCCAATGGCCCTGCTTCTGGGTTCTGATTGGTTAAACAAAGCACCCAAAAAACCCTCTGGGGTCAATGTCTCTTTTCTCTCTGTCGCTCTTTTCCTCCTTACTGCCTTGTTCTGGCTAAGTCGGGGCTTATCAAAGACAATCCAGTTCTGTCATGTGGCCAAATCATCTTGACACCCATTTAGCATGCTCATCAGAGGACAGTTATGAATATTCAAGATGGTGCCAGGGGCCAGTGAGAGGCATAATCGAAGAGATTAGATTGACAGATAATGGGGTGAGGGTCCAAAACAGGGCAGAAAGAGATACGATGAAGATTAAATGTGTACATGTGAGTAACTGAGTACAAGGAAGTTGAAAACAACATACCGGTAATAACCAAAATTAAATATAAGCCTACGTCTAAGTCTACGTGTGGCCCTGCGATGGACTGGCGACCTGTCGCCCGATGTCTGCTTGGATCGGCTCCAGGCCCCCGCGACCCTGAACGCAGGATAAGCGGTTGACGATAAATGGATGGATGAATTTTTAAGAAGGCTTATCAAGGACAGTGTTGATAATGAACAGAAGATGATACCAACTTGGCTAGCCTGAGATGGTCAGACCAGAGTCGTACAGAAGAGGCGTCCACAGCAAAAAATGTTACCAGTGAAAACTTGAAATTTAGAGAAAGACAGGAAATCATTTTATGTTCCTGTCTCTTTGAATTAGCTGAATAAGAGAGGTTCTAAAGTTCAGTAACTTAATATCAGAAAGATATGATATGATGAGATAGAGAAGTGTGACTCGTGAGTAGGATATAGCTAGGAAGCGGACCTAAGATTGACCTGTATGGGACACCACAAAGGAGGAGTTCTGTGGAGGAGAAGGTCCCATGTCTACCACCCATGTGTGGTTTATACTAGGCTTGTGCCGATAAGCGTTCAGATTGACTATTGTAGATTGAAAAATCAACATTTTTCCCCCCAGCCAATGTTACGTATCTAAATTGTTATAGAATATAAAATATAAAATCTGCTCCCTGCTAAAATCTGTGGCATGTCTGGAAGGTGATGATGGTCATTGTTAATCAGCAAGTGACCAGTTTAGTGTGATCCAGTTTACGTCTTCTATTTGCTCCATGCAGCAACTTGTCAACAATGTACAGAGTCGCAATCCAGTTGCCACTATATTTTGTGCTGGGTCTGTTTTTGCCAGACTGGCTCATGTCTCTTAAGCATGAAATTCACTTGTGAATATATGTAAATATCTGTAATTATCAATGTTTATCATGCATTTAATTTGTCTGAACACATGTAAAACAAAACTATTTTTTTAGCGTTTGTAATTAGAGGGAGAAGGAGGGAGAGAGGGAGGGAAAGAGGGATTATTTACGGTCACTATATTGTCTGGCAAAATTAACAAAAACACAGGTTCATGATGGCAGCTGTGCTGTGAGATCGGCTGTTTTATTGACATTTAAAATTAGTGACAGAAAGTCAGAGTCTTATGGAAAATCCTTTGGCACTGCTTATGAATCACAGGCTTTTTATTTCCTTGATCCTCTTGTTCTGTTGACCCCTGTTTGGTTATGAATGTATTGCGAGGACAAGAGAGCCGAGCCAGGAAGGAGCAAGTTTGTCTGAATGAGCCTGCCTGTCTCATTGACATCAATGTCAAAAACTTCTAGGATCACATCCAAGCTGAGACAAGTGATCATTTGGACTTAGAGAATGCAGCACTGTTCCAAGCTTTGATGTTTCAGCTGTTAAAGATTGTAGAGTAGGGTTATCAAGGGTGTTGCATCTTCATGAATTGCAGACATTTGTGGACCCAGATGATTTTTGTGTAGTCATATTTTCATTGTATATTTGTGTAGGCATAATTTTTGGGTACAGTTGAAAAAATTATATTTAAAAAGGTATTTGATACAAGAGGAAAATTTCTGATGTATCAGTCCTCAGTTTTCACATTTTGTTCATGCGATTCCCCATGGAATATCTGACAAGGGTTTCCCTGCCCTGAAGCTCAACTACTGAACAGACAGAAGGAGCTTAAGTTGTCTCCACTATACTCAAAGTTACACTCATCCATTGCATCAATTCAGTAATTGATCATGAAAAACAGGGCAGCTGTAGATGGAAGGATAGGGAAGACTTTCTCAAACACAGTAATATGGTACTGACAATATTAATTCCTTTGTGACGGGGAGTGTGATATGTTGTGCCATATACACATATCTCTGACTCTTGCTTTCCATCTGTTTCCTCTACCAGAATTCACTTTCAAAGTGGATGTATACAGAGATGGCTGGATCTGCACCACAGATGGATGTAGTATAGATAAGTAGTCATCCAAACCAGTCTTACTACTGTGGGTGGCCTGTTTCTTGACCAGTATATGTGTGCGTACGTATGCGATGTGCATTTCATATGGTTTCATGTGGGCTGCAGTGCTTTTGAATGTCCCTCAACAGCTTAACCTACTGTATCTCACTGAGATGAATGGGGGTCAGGGCTGGGCCACCCACTCCTCTCCACAGTCCCAGACCTATAAAAAGACTACTTGTAACACGCCTAAATGTTTGATCATTCCCAGTTCAGAAGAGTGTTGGTCACTTCTTTATTAACAGTTTGGGTCAAACAGTCAAGTACCAGTGGATGGAAGTAGGGCACACAAGGTTACACGACAAACAACAGAAAAGCTCCATCATAAATATATTTTAAAAAAACATTTTCACATATGACTGAGAGTATGAATTTGTACACAGTTGTCTGCATCACCACACTAAAACACCAGTTTGCACCATCTGTAGGCTATAATGTAAGTCCATAAGTCTTCCCTCTTTGATCCTTCAGTTCCAGTCATGTTTCCTTCAAGACAGCGCTCCTCAACTCTGCAATTTTAGACTGGTAAGGAGGGTGTCTATCTAAAACAGTCCTGGCCCATCTGTGTCACAGGCCATATCTGTCATTATCTGCATTTTATTGTTCTCTCTATAGTATTGCCTACCGCCTGCTCCTGCCCTATCCTCAGCACCGCGTTCTCTCTGATGAGTCACAAAGGTCTTGAAAAAGCTGCTGGCTCGTCTTTGGTGACAGTGGTAGAGATGATGGTTCTTGTAAAAAGTCAGATTTGAGTCATAATAAAGGAGGAATTTCTGGCTCTGACAGAACCAGATCGGTTTGTCACTTGTGGTTGAGTCATCAAGGTATACAATGATGTTGCCAGTGCTTCTCAAAATGAAAGCTGTCGTAGTTAATTTCAGGAAGGAACAACTTCATCCTTGCAGGCTCATAATCAGTAGCTGGTGAGACTCTGCATGCTGTCCAGGATGATAAAAATGATGGTGTTGACTGTGAGGGATTCTGGTGGGTGAACGCAAGTCAGTAATGAGAGGAGAGGTGGAGGAGACTACATTATCAGAAGATCCCAGGATGACTCACACCACAGCCCTCGTCAGTTAGAGTGGGGTTTCCTGCAAACACGCGTCTGCCACATTGTGTAGGTTTTACTCTCCATCTGTGATAAGAGGGCTGTATTGCTTTTTGTTTCCTGATTTCCATAAAAATGTATTGAAATTTGCACTCTCTGAGAAAAGTGTTGTGTCACTAGTATTTCCAGACTTAAATTAGATTAGTTTGATTTAGTCTAATATGGGTAGGGGGGGATCAGGATGCACTCAGTGACCCTACACAGGCGGACAGATACTGTATACTCTAGCCAGACAAATGCTGCCCATCCCGTCAGCTTGCTAGCAAGGGCAGTGAGGTAGATAATAATTGTCAGCATGGCTGTGCCAGTGCCAATGCCAGGGTGGGCTAGGCCTGTTGGGTCTGGCTAAGTCTGACTATGGGCATCAGGGTTCCACAGGGCTGAGGGAAGAGGATGCACTCTGTTGCAAGCATGACCCAAGCACACACACTCATTAATAAAGAAAGAAATATATATTCTGTATTGTCAATTTGCTCTTTGTATTATTTTATCACAGATAGCCATGCAGATGCTGAAATCAAACTTCCAGAATCAAATAGCGTTTGTGAAGACGAGGAATGATGTGATGCAACGCAGAAGGAAGCGGCACCAGAAAGCCTGTTGTGGCCTACTTGAGACCTCATGCTTGGGTCAGGCTCTTTCTTGGCACACCTCAGTGACAGCATAAACATGACAGAAATGACCAGCGAACATCTGAGCCCACCTGTTACCAGTCCAAGCTTTTAATGTAAGTAACATGGCTTCATCTTTTAACCTATCAAGTGTTGATTATGTGGCGTGGAGATTATAAACTGGCCACCTTGTCCTGCCACTGAGCAGGTCCTCTTGTGGTTGTTGAATGTTATGTCCCTGTCAGCTGAAAGAACAGCTTTGTGTAGTTGTGGTAGCGCCAGTAGATCAACTGTGCGTGCGTGTGTGTGTGTGTGTGTGTGTGTGTGTGTGTCTGTAAAACAGAAAGAAAGAAAGAAAGAAAGAAAGAAAGAATCTCTAGTTAGACACCACCTGAGCTCCATACCTGCTCTGGGTTTGTCTCTGGCGTTCAGCTTGGAAATGGAATTGAAACATTTCCATCGGTCTGTGCAAGTACATTTATCACTCAGATCACATTTATCACTCAGATCACTCAGAGTTGTGGAGAAGCGGAAAAGTGGTCTGGCATGAGATCTGTCACCAAGTCCTCCACATTTATGTCGCCAAACTATTTGGTGGCCTCAGAAATTGGGACCTCCTGTTTAGACTGTGGGAACTGTTGGTAGTTGGTCTAAAATCAACCAGTGTTTCAGCTCCTCATTGTGAAATAAACAACTTCTGTGATGCTTTGCTAAGATTTTCACCTACTAACTGAAATACACTGAACAAAATTATAAACGCAACACTTTTGTTTTTGTCATCATGAGCTGAACTCAAAGATCTAAGACTTTCTCTATGTACACAAAAGTGTTAGTGAGCAATTCTACTTTGCCGAGATAATCCATCCACGTCACAGGTGTGACATATGCTCCATATTTGTATAGCGCATTTCTAGTCTTTTTGACCACTCAAAGCACTTTTACACTACATCTGCATTCACCATTCACACACATTCATTCACTGAACCGCCGACCTTCCAATTAACGGCCAACCCGCTCTATCTCCTGAGCCGCAGCCGCCCCAAAGATGCTGATTAGACAGCATGGGTATTGCACAGGTGTGCCTTAGGTTGGCCACAATAAATGGCCACTCGAAAATGTGCAGTTTCACTGTATTGGGGGGTTCTGGGAGGTCCAGGAAACCAGTCACTATCTGGTATGACCACAATTTGCCTAACGCAGTGCAACACATCTCCTTCACATAGAGTTGATTAGGTTGTTGATTGTGGCCTGTGGAATGTTGGTCCACTCCTCTTCAATGGTTGTGCGAAGTTGCTGGATATTGGCAGGACCTGGAACACGCCGTCGTACACGCCGATCCAGAGCATCCCAAACATGCTCAATGGGTGACATGTCCAGTGAGTATGCTGGCCATGCAAGAACTGGGATGTTTTCAGCTTCCAGGAATTGTGTACAGATCCTTGCAACATGGGGCCGTGCATTATCATTCTGCAACATGAGGTGATGGTCGTGGATGAATGGCACAACAATGGGCCTCAGGATCTCGTCATGGAATCTCTGTACAATCAAAATGCCATCAATAAAATGCACCTGTGTTTGTTGTCGATAACACAAGCCTGCCCATACCATAACCCCACCGGCACCATGGACCACTTCATCCACAACATTGACATCAGCAAACCGCTCACCCACACGACGCCATACACGCTGTCTGCCATCTGCCCTGTACAGTGAAAGAGAACACCTCTCCAAAGTGCCAGACGCCATCAAATGTTAGCATTTGCCCACTTAAGTTTGTTACGACGACAAACTGCAGTCTGGTCGACATATCAATGAGGACGACAAGAATGCAGATGAGCTACCCTGAGACGGTTCCTGACAGTTTGTGCAGAAATTCTTGTTGCAGCAGCTGTCCGGGTGGCTGGTCTCAGACGATCTTGGAGGTGAAGATGCTGGATGTGGAGGTCCTGTGCTGGTGTGGTTACACGTGGTCTGCAGTTGTGAGGCTGGTTGGATGTACTGCCAAATTCTCTGAAATGCCTTTGGAGAAGGCTTATGGTAGAGAAATGAACATTCATTTCACGGGCAACAGTTCTGGTGAACATTCATGCAGTCAGCATGCCAATTGCACATTCCCTCAAAACTTGCGACATCTGTGGCATTTTGCTGTGTGATGGAACTGCACATTTTCGAGTGTCCTTTTATTGTGGCCAACCTAAGGTACACCTGTGCAATAACCCTGGCTGTCATGATCTGCATCTTGATATGCCACACCTGTGAAGTGGATGGATTATCTCGGCAAAGGAGAAGTGCTCACAAACACAGATTTTGACAGAATTGTGAACAATATTTGAGAAATATAGGTCCTTTGTGTACATAGAGAAAGTCTTAGATCTTTGAGTTCAGCTCATGATGAATGGGGGCAAAAACAAAAGTGTTGTGTTTTCTGTTCTTGTTGTTCAGTGTAGAATAATTGTATTGAAGGAAGTGAGTCAGTTTAATAACGTGGTGCAGATTTACCAATTTCTACAATTTTCATCAGTACCAAACCCAAAAACATCAATACTTAAGAATATGTCAACTTTCAGAACATAAAATCTGTACTACAGCAAATGCACCCCTGACGTCCTCATCGGTCTGTTCCCAGTGTAGCTATCATAGCAGTAATAAGATTTTAGAGAGAATAGTGTGTGTCAGCAGTGGTAATGAAATGCATCCGAATGGCACCCTCTGGACATGACAGTTACAGGCCAGGTGTCCAAAGGAAAATATTCAGCTATGGAAAATACATGCAGTGCACGTCAGGACTTTGACACGGGAAGCAAACCTGGGGACCCTGGTGGTTGGAGGTAATGCTGTAAACACATATGGCAGGAAATTAGAGGTAAGAGAATGGAGACCAATAGAAGCCTGAATACGCAGTAAATTTCTTTCTCTTATTTTTCCACATGTATCATTCATTTTAGTCTGATCTAAAATACCAATGATGCCACATGCATTCCCATTCCTGAACACATGCATTCCCATTCCTGAACTTTCAACACCTCATTATTGAGTTTCCCACACCCTTATATAGTGTTGCTGAGTATTCAGCCTGTAGATGTAAATGGGTTTCTCCCTTGTCTTAGTGGAGCTCACTTCCTGTTACTGGCCCCAGGGTGGGAGCGCACAATGACAAACACCACCCACATTAGCTCCCTAGCAGGCAGGCAGGGTGACACAAAGGTTATTTGTTTCTGTCAGAAGCACAGAAATAGTCTTCCAACTCCTCCTGGGGTGGACAAAGCCGGCGTGCATTCATTGGCCTGCCACTGGGGCGGGATGTGCTCTTGTTGTGATTACCTGCCTATGTAGAGGAAGGGCTTTCTCTTAGGATCTATGGAAAAATGCTGCTGTCAGCCAAGTACCTTGATTAGCACCCCTGCCAGTTCCTGGGTCAGCTTAGAGGGCAAAAGTGTCTAGACCAGTCAGGGGATTTCCACAGGCTGTAAGCTGTAATTATTACTGCTTACAGTAGAGCCCCAACTCTCAGGGCCCACATTTTACTTTTGACGGTTGTACGGCATTACCGCAGTGTGTGGTGGGAGTCGGATCAGACATTGGCTTTACATATGGTTTAAATGTTGTATAGTTAATGCCCTCAATTTTTCATTGAGTCATGTTATTTGATGTAAGCAGATCAAGAGATAGGAGGGTGGGAACTGTTCTAGTGATAAATATCTGTTAAATTAAAGAACTATTAAGTGGAACATTGAACTGTTTTTTTTATTTATTTGAAGATGTTATTGGTTGGTTGGTTGGTTGGTTGGTTGGTTGATTGATTGATTGATTGATTGATTGTTTGATTGGCATTGTGCAGTGGATAAGCACTACCCCCTAATGTCAAGTTCTTCTAGCTTGCTGCTTGGGCTTACAGTGCATTCTGCATTACAAACTCAGTCCTGCCAGAAAAAGCACAACCAGTTAATGGTTCGGAACTCTGGCTTATCTTGGCCATCGACACAACAAAAGCTATAATTATCTGCAAAATAAACTCGCTTCCTTGATTGTTAGACAAATAATGCATTAAACAGTTCCAGATAAACTTTGTTTTCCACTGTGTTGCCAGCCCCTGTGGAGAGAGGGAGAGGCTTTCAGGCCACCAATACTGGAAGACCATTTCATTGGGCTACTCAGGAAGTTCTTTGGCTCTATGTTCCAGTGCTTCATAAAATATTATATATTATATAACCAATTATGATTTGAAAACTCTGTTTTGTTCTCTGTGAAAAGAACACCCCTGATGTTTCCCACCTGCCAACCGATTTGAGTTTTTCTTGTGTATGTCAGCACTGTGTGTCTCCCAAGGCCTTCTTTATATAGGCCCAGACATTATTTTTGGCATTTTTTTCTGACGTGTACCTCCCACTCCTCCCACTTTCTCTGGCCCACCTCCATGAGGAAGCCTGGCACTCGCCTGAAACTCTCAGCCAGTCCTGGGCAGCTGGGATCTGGGGGAGCTCCCTGTAGTTCTGCAGTGTGCTGGCAGCCCCCTTTCTCTTGCCCCCACCACTCTTAATTCTGTCTTTTTACTTCCAGCCAGCTTCAGAATACAATACAGAGAAGCCCTGTGCTGTGCTGTGAACACAGACACACACCCTTGGGCATACACACACATCCACACTTTTATAAGCCATTGAAAGAGACAGGACCAAAGGCGGAAAGAGGAGCAGACGCCTCTCAGATGCTGGGCTTGGCTTCATGCGCCTCTTGACACAGACGGCCGCACACAAGATAACTGTTGTTTATTGTTTATGGAAGGACCCTCTGCCACACTCCATGCTCTCTTCATCTGGAGACTTCTAAGGGGCCACAGCCAAGAGCCACAGGGGAAAAGAAAAATGGAACTCACTGTATCTACTGTGTGCAAGTGTGTACCTCTGTGTATGTGTGTATGTATGAAGGAGAGTGCATGTATGTTTTTGTGTTTGCATGTACGGTGGGAATGTACACTTACTATACAGTCTTGGGCCCTAGTATTCTTCTGTAGCTTCCGCAATGAGTATGGATTGTTTGCTCAGCTGGAGTTGGTTCAGTGTGGAGGGGACAGGGAAGCCATCGTGTTCCATAGGGGTCTTAGTCATAATAAAGTCACTAT